GAACTGCAGTTTTGCTTGTATCAGCCCAATTTTTGCAGTGATTAGAAATGGAAGACATTTTGTGAGAGTATACAATTCAAAAGTACCAGAAACAAAAGATTTTTTCAACACGTACGACAATGACGAACAAAAATTTATTATTGCACATAAATAAATGTATTTTTGCTCCGATCCTGGCACAAAAACTAGGCTTTGTTTTCACATTTTGGATCGAGTCAGCCACGGATGTGCTTGTGCTTTACGTTCAGAATCCGTCGAGATGATGACATTGATGAGGCTTGGGCCATTTTTCTTCTCGAACGCCTAAACTTATAATTAGAGGTTTTCCTGTAATTTTTTCTCACAGTTTTTTTCTTGCCTTGTGCAGTGCTTCTTTGATCTCTGGAACAGTTTTAACCAAGTACCCATCGCCACCGAGCGCACAGCACATTTCATCGTAACGACATTCGGGTGAGAGTGACAGCACCGGGAAACTAGAACGGCATTCTTGAATAATTAAGTAAAGGAACCCTATAGTATTTACAGTAATGTCGGATCGCCCTCGACAGCATTCATATCCTCTGGCAACATGCCACGGTAGATTCCGCTGTTGTTGAGGATTACGGTCACCACGGGGAGTTTGTACCTGAAGAAGTGCATTAGATTCGGGAAAAAGTGTCTACGAAAACGAAGTAGTTTTGAATTGACTTGGAGGTTCCGAGTGATAGAGCGAAGACTCGTGTGAAAAGTAACAAAAATCTAGATCTGGTGAATTGCAACCAAAAGATCTGATAGGTGTTGTACACATTCGAATGTATAGTCTCTCATTTTTCTGATTGGGCTTTGCAGACGACAGCAAAAGCGAGACAGTAAGACCCCAATCCAGAAAATTTCATCTTTTGACAATGTGAGCTACTTATCGACCAGAGAGATAATCACCAGTTTTGGGTAGAAAAACAAAAATCAAAAATATAGTTTTCCTATGTAAGATGAAAACGCTTTGTGTGGAAATCAATTAAGCTCGCGAAACCTTTGAGTTCTGCAGTGTTCATAATAGATAGAGTAGCGGATGAAAAGCCCTAGTGTGTAACATCTTTACGAAAAGAAGTCTTCCTTGACTTTTTCAGGAATTCATTTTTGACATTTCTGCGAATGCCCGCGCTTCATCATGCTCCAGATCCACAGAGAAATATGTGATTTGTCGAGGTGTATATATGCTGTGTAGACGCACAATGTGCAAAGCAAATTGTCTGATTCTTACCTAGCTATAGTCTCAATCTCCATGCCAGAGAAGCCAAATGCACTATCGCCTTGAACTACTAGCACTTTTGTCGTTGGTGAATGATCTCGACAGTATAGTGCTGCAGCCAGCGCATAGCCCTGTCCCACTCCCATAGTGCCTAAAACGTTTCTTCCACTGATTTCCCAGAAGTTTGAAAATTGTCCTACCCACCAAACGTTCCAGCATCCAAACGTCTTCTTGGCAACGTTGACGGCATCATAGTCCTTCCGATATCCATTGTGTTTGCGCCTTCATTTACCACAATGACATCATTTTTAGCGAGAAATTCGCGAATCTGAAAATTTGAATTTCACCTTCAAGAACGAATTTCAGAAGGAGAGCTCACGGGTGTATAAGCTGCATAGTAGTTGAGTGGAGTCGAATGATCGTTGGCCATTTGCTCAACGACAGCCCTTAAAAAAATTCTTTTTCATGAAAAGAAGGAAGTTCGCAGATTGCGCTAAAATGAACCTGTTTTTGTCAGCGTTTGCTAACAGATCGGTCATCCACTTCTCCTTCTGTGGATAGCGCCATTCGTCCAGTTGCACAATCATCTAGGAGAATTCAAAACAAATCATTTATAGGGAACCAGAAAGAAATAAGAGAAAAGTAAGGATTCACGGTAGATTTGTCCAAATCAGTGGCTCGATATGAGCCAACAGAGAAAAAAAGGGGGAAAACTATAGTGATGATGCTATAGCCACTTTTGACATTTCAAAATATTACTTGTTTGATATTATTTCTGCATTTCTGCTTTATCACAAAAGAAAAGCTGTGAAACTGAAAAGAGATCAATTAAGATTCGAATATTTTGTTTCAAGGTTGGCGGATACAATAATCCCGTTCTCCCTTTTTTGTGAAAGTTATTCGTCATTCTTACCGAGCTAAGCGTCTCTCCAATATCTCCTAGTAAAGGTACTGTAGTTGGCAAATTTTGATGAAATTCTTCTGGAGAGAGATCAATCTAGAATTACACTTTCTTACCTCATTATGAATTTGAATGGAATATAACCGCCTTCTATACAAACCTGTACAACTTTCACATCCTTGTTGAGCCGTGGTGGAAGGCCAAAATGGAGCATCCAGTTCAATCTTGCACCAATCAAGATGATGCAGTCAGCTTCGCGGAGTGCAAAGGAGCGGGCAGGAGCCACCGATCTGAAATTCATCAGGGCAAAATCCGGGCAAAATCGCGAGCGCTTGGCGCGGTTTTTGATTAGAGGGACTATCCCCTTAGATGGAGCATCCAACTTTTGCAATTTCGGTCTTGTATTTGAATGATTTCTCTTGGAATGAAGCTTTATATTCTCCTCAGCTTCAAACCAACTTTGCGAAATTTTCGGAATTGCTTACAACTATAAAGAATGTTGGTTCTTTACTTAATATCACATGCTCATGAATTTG